TTAAGAAGTGAGACTATTTAAAGAGTGTATTGATGGCGATATTTTAACGGTTTTATATTTCTTCTTTGGCTTTTCTTTCTATATTTTATCGGCTCATAGAGTAGATTGAAATAGTGTTTTCATTTCTTTAAGAGGTTCTGATTTCTGATTTTCTGAAATTTCAGAGATTTCTCCAGCATTTCTGTGCGGCTAGTTTAGTACGAAAATTTTCTCAATCCGCTGCATGATAATCATAAATTCCCCTAGTATATTGTGTGACGGTAGGCTGAGAAACAGTAACACTAAATTTAAGTACATTATGACTACACGTATATGACAGTTCTGACAAGATCTCTATTTTATCGATTAATTTCAGGTTATCGACCAAGATTAGATCTAATCCATGGAGGATTTAGGACATCTAGGTTTATCCACCAGTTGATACAGCTGTGCGTCGTCTGCAAACTCGTGCAGCGATTTACCTGCTAGAGTAGAAGGCTTTGTAGGGCACCAGTCATAGCAATGCGCATTAAAGTCGCCTAAAAACACCAGAGCAGCCCTCATATACTTGGTGTTACTTCTAATTTCAGTTAAAACAATATCTGAATGTGCAGTAAAATCTTCAATGTCAATCCAATCGGGTCTATAACACGCTGAGAGTAGAATAGTTTCTGACAAAGCGAATTGAATGGAACAAAAGAGTGTTTCATATTCTGGATTTTCTAATCCAACTAAGCGTTTACACGCTTACATAGACTAAAATACCGCCACCCTTTTCCGCTACTCTGTCTCTTCGCAATGGCATCTGAAATCCAGTCAAAAACAACTGTGAGCCAAATACCCTATCATCTAACCGTCTCATTAATCAGAGCAACAGCAGGTATTTCTTGCTCCACAAGGCTTGCTAAAAGTTCAAATTTTTAACCATAACCGACCGAACGAGGTGTAGAAGTATTGTTTTTTACCATCAAGCGTAGTCATCAAATTATTCACATTCAGTAAAAAAATCTTTTCGCTGTGCCACTGATTTCAAGTATGACAATTTTTACTTTTAACTGTAATCAGTTTGTGGGTCACATACTGCAGTTTTCGAACACAACATATATGGAAGGAAGAGGAAAAGATAGAATGCATTTGAAGTCATATAATCACTGATTCTCATCGCGTGTTTGTATAGAGTCTATAAACAGTAGAACAGAGCTAACAAATATATACACTAATTTCAACTACACAGAAGAGAAGACAAAAGTGAGTGTGACCCAGACAAATAGAAGGATCAAAAGAATCCATTGGCAATACCTTAACCAGTTTTAGCACTACAACCTTGATAAACCTTGTCCAAATAACCTCTTATTGTTTTCAATTTCCTAACCAAGAGATTTTCGCTAAAGCTTTTCAAAAGCAGATCAGTCGATAGAGAATTGAATTGTCTACAAAATGGCTCATTCACTTTTGAGTTCTAACATTCTGAAAAATTTCTGCAAATTGAACAAAATCACCAAAAAACGTTACGGAATTCCATACGCAGCAGAGTTAGCTGGACAGGCCGATGAGACATCTTTGCATATAAATCAAAATTGATAAACACTATGTATTTCACTCAAATATTTCTCTTATTCTTAAAGGTAATTTTATTGTTTCGGATTTTAGAGCATTAACGAAACATGTTAATAAACGATACAGAGGCAATTGAAAGAGAACAGGGGAGATAAAAAATGCATTTGATCAAAATGAGAAACTCAAATAGGAAATGAAAAGAGATATAAAATATAACATTGAGAAAGACATGAGTTTGTATGAAATAAAGCAGTTGATGGTAAAGATATTAAATAAGAATTCATTAAGTGGCATATAAGAGAATTATATTAACCATAAATATGTGAAATATTGTCTAACTGAATGGTACAATCAATTATCATTAATATTTAATGAAATGGAGCAACACAATTTAGAGCAATTAATTGAAAATGTGGCAAGAGCAAAAACAATTCAAGATATACCTATATTATTTTCAAAATATTTTAAAATATTCATTCAAAAGATTCATTTACTTTGGAAAACAATTTGACTTCATTCTGATGCAATTTAAACAAAATATTACTGATTGTTTGAGAGAAAAATTTGATAACATTGAACAACAAAATGAGTTAATAATTCAAATAGAAAATGAATTAAGAAATTTTTTATCTATTTACGAAATTAAGAAATTTGCTAATAAAAAAGAGCATTGTCATCATCAAGATTAAAAGAAGACGGGTGGGTATAACGCTTATAACATTTTGGCGAAGACAGCTAGAGGTTTGAGGCCTTCATTGTTCAAAAGAAAGCATCACAATACGCTACAGATCACTTCTTACCGATAATGAAGACCTCAGACCTCTTACTGTCTTCGCTAAAATTCTATAAGCGTTATAACCACCGGTCTTCTTTTGAAATTCCGATAGGAGTTTAATTCCATTCTTGCGAATATAATAACTTGGAGTTTATTCTACTTGTGTAGATATAAGTGAAGCAAAATTAATTAATTTTAGTGTTAAACAAATTAGAAAGATAATTAATGCTAGTTTAACTCAAGTAACATTAATTGATGTTTGGTTGAATGCAAAAGTGTAGTTCACATTTACAACGTAAAGGCTTAGGCTTATTATGCTTTTTAAGCAAAACCAGGTTTTGTGAAACTCCTCTCAAAATCAAAATTTAAAGAGGAGTTGAAGGTTATACTAACATTCTGCAGAGTTTCCAAGACAATCCAATTTTTCCAATCTCTAGCACCTAAAATATGAATCTGGACTTAGATTTTGTTTTGATTTAAATTGTTCGATGGCATTTGTTCTTAGAAAAAAAATGCTCACTTTCCCTCGCTCCCTCTCAATAAGTAGAGACTTGACTGAATAGTGTACATTATCATCAAATATTTAACATTAAAACAAAAAACTTAAATATATGCATAATCAAGTTTGTGAAGATTAAGTGTTTTCAAGAGCTTCATTCGATAAAGTATGTGTTTAGCTACACATTGAAAAAAGGTTTTAAAAATAACCTTAAGGCTGAGTTTTATCTTAAATTAAGTCTTTATCTTTAATTAAAAACTTTCAGTAGAAATCTCGGAAAAACCAGAATTTTTCGTTTTTGCAGCAGTTACATTTCTAGACTAAAAGGTCAATCTCTAATGCAAATGAAAAGCCACACCAAAAGAAATTTGAGAGAAAAATAGTGAAAGATATTCGAACTCGTGTTACGTTTCGTGGAAAAGAGTTTTAAATCCATGTAACACCTTTGTAGGAAACGAAAGTTAATTTTTTGGAGACTTCAGTATTGAAAAAGTTTTGTTGCGTCAAATTATGCTGGAAAGAGATGAAGCTTCGTAGAATAATAATACAAACATACAGTTTTTCGGCTCCTTTAACTTTAAACTAAGCTTTTAACTGTCAGGAAAAAAGCGTAGAGTTCAGTCATGGGATATGTTATCGTAAATATAGCATGAAACGATCAATAGGATTTGACTAATCAATAAGTTCAAGAAATTTTCTTCGTATTTACCTAAGTATCGTATAATTTTGAGACACTCTTTACATTGGATTTCGCGCTATATCAGTAGCTACAAGACAGTTGATTTGCTTCAACAAAGTCGACTTTCGCTTATTGCACAACGATGAAAAGCTTCTAATTCTATACGGACTGAATTCCTTTTTAGTATGACAGATATACCGCAGTACATACAGCCGTACACTGCTCAACGTGTAACGCTCAACAGCACACGATCTTTCGGCGACATCGTGGCCGCATTGCATAAACTCCTCGGTTCATCGAAACCAATCGATTTCAAACATCCCGCCTCTCAGGCTACTGATACACAGTCGTTCGAGAAAATCTTTAACTCCATTGTTGGTCCAAGCGGGTTCATGTTATTTCTCGAAGTGGATCACGGTGCATGGTTCAGTCTACTTGACAAGAGCACTAGTAAGAGTCGCATGTTTGTACTGGGAAATCCGTTGATTGCAAAAACAATGCTTGAACATAATCCAACAGCAGGATTACACGTTCCAGTGCGTTTGCTTGTGCTGGAGCAGGATCCTCAACCCACAGCGATTTCGTATGATTTGCCCTCGTTACTGATTGCTATCGGCGGCGATAACGCCACGTTGCTCAATGCAGCAAAATGGCTAGATAGTAAGTTGGAAAGGTTGGCGAGCCAAATGGCATATGGAAAATGGCCAATATGGAACACCTTTGAATATTATGCCAGCTTAAAACATTTATATGTAATCAATGCTTTCTTAAATAGACGCTTTTATGTGAATACGAGCTTGTTCAAGTGATATAATCTTAACATCATTCTGATGTGCTCGCAAGAAAGTCTCCCATTCAAGATTTTTAATATTGATATGCGAGAAACGGAATTGCAACAAGCTGTGACTGATTCGTGTGCATAGGAAGCCGATGCCTCTATTCGAGATGGGCGATCTTCTTACTATTGGTAATGGCCGGCCAACTTAACTGGAAGTATCCTTAACAGACGCACAGTAAGAATAGGGGATTTTTCGTTTTCTATTCTGCAACACATCGAAAAATACACATGATTTGCATAAAATTTTAAAATACAGAACGAAAAAAACCATGATTTCTATCGTAAGCTCGTGAAGAATACCCCCAGTGGGCCTCTCTGGAAAGATTCTTGGTATATTATATCCGATCACAACTTGGATGAAGAAATTTCGATCAGTTACATCTATGTCATACACGATGATAGTATCGTAAAAAAATAAACGATGTAGTCTTTTCATCTTTAGTTCTCTTATCCCATCTACTTCGGATAATCGTTTGTATTCTCCTTTGGACACGATAGAAAAAGTACAAACTACCTCTGTTTTGTATGGCAAACTGATCTCCGTAGTTGAGTAACGTACGAGGGAACATCCCGAGGTGTCCCCCTGGGATTTTGGAGAAATACATGGGCCTGGATAGAACTGCATAGAACTAAGTGCGCTGATCACAAATATGGCATTTTTAGCTGTCACCGTTAGCTTGCTGCTGCGTTAGAGTAGTTTTATTTACATACAGTTTTACATACAGAAAGGGTGAACAAGTTTTACCCTTTCTCTATGTAGGATTATTAAGAAAATACTATAAGTCGCATTGTTATGTCCGTTATACCACATTGTCGACGAAGAGTTCCTTAAGAAAACAGCATATTAAACGAATGTGAATAATGTATCTGCGAAAAACTGTGATCGGTCGAACATAGCACAGCGTGCATCCAGGCGGACATTGGGTGAAAAAATGAAAGTCGACTTTTCGACGATTCAAATGATGGTTAATATACTTCAAGTGATGCTCTATTCGATGACACAACAAATTTTGTTACAAAATTTATGTATCGGGAAAACAGCTAATCAAACATTAGCCTGAAATAGTAGTATCAGTGGAAAAACTGAAATTTTCACAGCAGTCAATGAAGCTGTAATAAAAAACGACATATATTCTAAATCTGCATGACATCAGCTATAGATCAGTAAAAAGAAAACTTTAAATTTGACTTATGACAGCTGAGAAAATTAAAAAAATTTTCTCAAGCGATTTCCCGAAGGGCTAAGTTTAGTAAAGTGAGCGCGAAAGTTAGCGAAGGTCCAAACTTAACCAAGCTTTCATAGAATGTTCTTCTATATGCCCTGCATCTACGGTGAATGCGCAAAAATGCGCAAATGTTTCTGAAGCATACAGCGGGTTTTCCAAAAAACCTGAGTTTTTTCAGGTATTTTCCATTTTTCTCAGTTCGGAAACGTTTTCATTCAACAAAAATTATATATTCGGAATCAGCGCAAGAAACTGCATTGAATGATGTGCGATTAGTAGGTTTCTTTTTAGCAAAAACTTGTTGGATCTAACGGAACGCTGGAGTCGAAGCATAGCGTGATAATTTTCGCTAAGGGTTTTGATATTTGCTATAGAAGCAGTCCGAAAGTCTAACACCCTTTTTTACAGGTTTTCAGATATGCTCTTTCCAATGGCGTGCTTTACAAAGTTCCAGGGTACTTATGTGGGGGTTTTCTGTGATAATTACCCATGTCGTTAAAATAGCTCCA